ATGGGGTTGGAAAGTCAATCTTCGTACATACATACGTATACGCATAAACTTAACTTTTATGGAGTCTGTTTGTTTCGATACCAGAATACTTCAATATTATCAGACTGGTTAATGTCGTGCATTGGTGGAGTTCCACTGGTGGCCGACCATGTACCGCTGGGCTGAACTGTGTCCAAAACAGGGAAACAAGAAGAAAAAGAAAAACCTTCAAGGGTCTTGACCCTGTAACACCACTTCTAAACCCAACTGACTTCCAACCCGCTGATATGCGCTCTAGCGCCACCGAGTGACCTAGCAGGGCGACCGGTGCAGTGCGTAGCTGCGAGCTGAAACTGAAGCTGAACGTGACTGCAGGAAACTGGGTCCCTGGGAGATGCAGATCGTAGATCAGGTACCATTGCGGTAAATGATCTACAGTGATCGATATATTTCTTATTTCGCAATATGACCAACTAGCAGATAGCACAGCTGCAGTATGCATATTCATGCAAGTAGTTGATCATATGAGTGCGATTAGATCAACCAGACGCAAGAATCAATATTATCGGAATCTAACAGGCGATTAATTGCCGACACGGGATTTGGATGACCTGGCCACGCCACTCTTGCTAGATTTAATTGCCTTCACGCCAAGCTGATGATGGTGATGTATCTGACTTTGTCGCTTTCTGTGTGCTGTCTCAGCGGCCATTAACATGTCTCCCAAATCAGAGGTCGCGATAGGAGTCCGTCATGGCGGGACTGAACAGTCCCATGCTCATTACGGCCAAGGAACAAGCACAGATCCCTTCGTCGTGGAGTTTGAAATGGATGATCCGGAGAACCCTATGAATTGGTCGGCCTCGAGGAAATGGTTCATCGCTTTCATTGTAACCTCTTCTGTGTTTGCCGTTACGTTCACGTCTTCCGCGTATTCCGACTCCAGCGACGAGATAATTAGAGACTTCAATATCAGCACGGAGGTCTTTTCTGTAGGAATAAGCCTCTTTATCTTGGGATTTGCTGTCGGGCCGGCAGTGTGGGCACCTCTGGTGAGTATTTGTTTTAGATGCATATCACATAGAACAACAAGCTGATAATTCTTCTCAGTAAGCTTCCCTCACCATTCATAAGCCTACCCTGTATTAATATTCCTTTAAATATCAGATCAGAACTCTACGGCAGAAAGATCTTCTGGATAATCTCCCACATCGGCATGGTGGCGTTTATCGGAGGCACCGCCGGAAGCCGCAACATAACCACCCTACTTGTCCTACGATTCTTCAGCGGCACGTTTGGAGGATCCCCATTAGTCAACGCAGGGGGCGCTATTGCAGATATCTTCCCCCCCGGTGCAGCGAGGGCTAGCGATGATAGTCTACTCCTTCGCACCCTTACTAGGACCGCTCGTCGGCCCCATCATCAGCGGATTCGTATCTGAAAACGTGGGCTGGCGATGGGTGCAGGGGATGTGCTGTATCTTCGTAGGTGTGATCGGCATCATTGGCACCATCTTCGTCCCAGAGACATACGGCCCAGTACTGCTACTCCGAAAGGCGAAATGTCTAACCAAATCTACCGGAAAAGTCCACGTTAGTATCCTCGAGCGCGACCAGGGCAAGAAGAAGCCATCCGAAGTCTTCCAAAGAGCCTTAATCCGACCATGGGTCCTCCTCATGCATGAACCAATCGTGACCGTGGCTTCCATCTACATAGCCCTATGTTACGGAACGACCTACATGTTCATGGGCGCTATGCCAATCGTATACAACGAAGACCGCGGCTGGTCGGAGGGGATTGGCGGTCTCGCATTCCTAGGCCTTGCTATCGGAGAGATCTTAGGTCTAGTGTACGCTGGCTACGACTACCACAGACGATACATGAAACTATACAATACCGGAAAGGCCACCCCAGAATCCCGCCTCCCTACAGCCATTGTGGGATCCATCGCCTTGCCGATCGGTATCTTCGGTTTTGCGTGGACTGATTACCCAAGCATTCATTGGTCCGCGAGTATCATTCTCTCGGCGCCGTTTGGCTTCGGGTGCATCCTTGCTAGCTTGTCGATCACGAATTACCTCGTCGATTCGTATACTATCTATGCGGCAACTGCGCTGGCGGCTCTGGCTATTGTTCGGTCGACCGGTGGAGCGGTGTTCCCATTGTTTACGAATCAGATGTACTATAATCTGGGAATTCATTGGGCTTCATGTGTGCCGGGGTTTCTGACCGTGGCTTGTATCCCGTTTCCGATTGTCATGTATCGCTATGGTGAGGCGCTGAGACTGAAGTGCAAGTATACATTTGAGGCTGCGGAGTTGATGCGGAGGATGCAGAAACAACAAGAGTTTGGTCAGGTTGAGAGTGAGGAGAGAGTTGATGAGGCGGAGTCTGCTTGAGATGAAGAGTCGTGGAAATGGTGTATATAGATGGTGTCATAGACGTTGTCCATCAAGTGAACAGGCCAAACGAGTTCAATAACATATGTCGTAAAGGCAACGCAGCCTCTATCACGAAGTAATTCAACTCATCCCCCGTGTGTCAACTGTTCTTTTGCCGTGCTCGTGTTCTACTGCAAGACATCTTCCGGCATCAGCAACGCTTTATTGGGCTTTAAGTTTGAGCTTATCTGGAGATATTCAGTCAGTAAAACATGATCAAACTTCGAAGGCCATATCATTCAGTTAGTAATCTTCAAAACATTTGTACGGATGTCATGCCGTATGCACATAAGATGGGCCAGACGGGCCACTTCTATCACGGAGAATTCATAGTGTAGAACACTCCCAGCAATCTGGATCCTTTTTGAACTTCAAAGACCAACCATTCTCCTTCACAGCTAACTCCAACACGCTAGAAATCGCCTAGAATCCCGTAAAAATTATAAGACCTTGACACCAAAACAAAGAGTGGGTACTACCTACAAACGGAGAATGTTCGCCCGATAACTCCGAAACATGTTATAGCCGAGCCCACCGAAAACAGCCAGGAGGCATGCAAAGGGGGCTCGGCATTTGCAGCAAGACCACTAAAAGTCGTGCCAAACTCCCCACTTATCACTACGCTCAACACCCACCCAGCACCATCCCAGCCAAACCCATCCACCCTTTAAACGACCCCCTTATCATCGGATCCTCCGTTCGGACCTTCCGACGCCACCCCGTGCATATCGGAGGAAAACTACCGGACAACATGCCGAAACCCCGATGCGGCGAATCAGAGAGAAAAAAAAAAAAAGGTGTAGGAATTTCGTCACCCCCTCGAAACAACACCAAATGGGAGAAAATATCTGAAGCCGAGAAGGAGAACAAGGGTGCGTTGCAGCCTTAGCATCTCAGCCTTTATCTCAGCCCAGAAATGACTGTCGTTCCACCACCGCCACTACCAGCATCATCTCGACCAGCAGATGCTGAAAAGGGCAAGGTCGAACATGCAGGCGCCGGTCCGGATCCTAACCTAGTGAAATGGGAGGAAAACGACCCCGAGAACCCACATAACTTTTCGACGGCGTACAAATGCTGGATCACGTTTCAGCTGGGATTATTGGCGCTGAGCGCCAGTTTAGGATCGAGTATTATCTCTCCGGCGGAGACCGAGCTTAAGGCTTATTTGAACATTGGAACGGAAGTTAGTATTCTTCCGGTGTCGCTCTATATGTATGTAACACACTCCAATCAATATAATCCCGGAAAAGGTTTCTATCAACAGCTACTAACGAAGATACCAGTCTTGGCTTCGCCTTCGGCCCTCTATGCTGGGCACCCATTTCCGAACTCTTCGGCCGGCGATGGTCGATGCTGCCGGCGGTATTCGTCCTCGGACTATTCAGCATCGGCACCGCAACCAGCAAAAACACAGCTTCAGTTCTCATCACCCGGTACTTCGCGGGTCTATTCGGCTCCGCACCAGTTAGTAATGTCTCCGCTGCACTTGGCGACATCTTCCACATGAAGGCGCGCGGCATCGCCAGCACCTCGTACGCCATCTGCGTCGTGGGCGGCCCAACCATGGGTCCCATCATCGGTGCCGCTATCGTCTCGAACCCGCACTTAGGGTGGCGCTGGACCGAGTATATCGAGGCAATCATTGTATTCTTCATCTTCGGCATCACTTTCTTCTGTCTGCCGGAGGTGTACGGCCCCGTGCTATTACACCGTAAGGCAGTACGTATGCGCAAGGAGACCGGAAATGAGGATCTATACCACCCGCACGAGCATATCAAGGTGGACGTGCATAGTATCGTCACGAAGCATTTCTCGCGTCCGCTGGTCATGCTTGTCACCGAGCCGATGGTCACGGTGATCGCGCTGTATGCGTCGTTTACGTATGCGTTGCTCTATCTTACCCTTGAGGTATTTCCGATTGTTTTTGATGATATTCGCCAGTGGAAGCCTGTTGTTGCTACGCTGCCGTTCATCGGGCTGTTCGTCGGTGTTCTGCTCTCGTCGGCGTTCATCATCTTCATCGGCCAGCCGTACTACATCCGCAAGTGGGAGGAAGGTGGCGGCAAGCCTGTCCCCGAGGCGCGTCTGATGCCCATGGCTGTTGGCGGATTCTTGTTCGCGGGTGGTCTGTTCTGGTTTGGATGGACGGCTGAGCCTAAGTATTCGTGGGGATTGCCGGTTGTGGCGGCGATGGTGTTTGGATGTGGGTTTTGTATTATCTTTGGCCAGTGTATAAATTTCCTGGTTGATACATATGGGCCCTACGCGGCGTCGGCGACGGCCTCGAATACTTTCCTGCGGAGTGTGTTGGCGGCGGCGTTTCCGCTGTTCTCGCAGCCCATGTTTCGCAATTTGGGGGTTGGGCCGGCAATGTCCATTCTGGGGGGTGTTGCGGCCGCGGCCATTCCGGTGCCGTTTTTGTTTATGATTTATGGGGTTAGGTTGAGGAAGATGTCGAGGTTTGCGCCGTTTAAGGGGTAGTGGGTCTTTGGGGTGAGTATATTATAGATTATAGATTAATAAAGTTAGATATAGAGAGATATAATATTGAAAAGGATGTGTTGTTAATAATAACTGGTGTTATAAAGTAAAGGTGTTCCCCATATATGGCATGTCCCAGAACAGGTCATCCAGGATCGATGTATCTATATCAAAAGGCTGCAATGAATCAGACGCTTCCTCATCCAATGGTAAGCCCGTCCCGGCATTATCCAAGGACGCAATCCTCTCTACTAGTTCGCCGCACTTCGACAAACAGTCATCCCCCAGATCCCACCCAAACATCTGTCGATGAGACTGCAGTGTAGCGATCATTTCTTTAGCCAACTCTAAGGGTGGATTGTTGCCGCTATCCAGGGAGTGCGATTTGACTCTACACAGCCCACTCCGTAGAAGAAAAGTCGTTGCAGATGTAAGCGAATACGCCTGCGCAGGAATCCAGAATCCACGCAGTTGATGCTCGTCTAGCTCCCTTACGAGATGCACTATCTCTTCCGCTACACGCTCGACTTGTGTGAATGAAACGGAGGAAGAGGTGCTGTCATTCCTATTATCAATATCGGAAGTCTCAGTCTGCTCGTCGTCCAGGTCGAGTGCGATGCGTCGGAGCAGAAGCTTCACGGATAAGTATGCCAGGCGCAGGTTTGCCGCGCCAGGGGTGGTCAAGTTGGTTCCGCGGCGGATAATATGGCGGGTCTGGGTGTCGAGGGAATCTTCCCAATTAGTGAGGAGGTGTGAGAGAGACGTCATTGTCTTCCTAACGGGACTGGAGACGTGGTAGATATATTCAAGGTATTGACCCAACACTTCGGTTAGTGTTGTGAAAGCAATGAATATCGAGGCTGCAGCTTCATGAGATGATGTTTCGAGAGATGGGAGAAGATAGTCCATGGTTGGGAATGGGACGTCGTATTGGGCGCGATGAACTTGGAGCGGTGTTCCGTAGGCGAGGCTGCACCTAGTGAATGTTAGCGAGCAAGAGAGAAGTTGAAAAGCGGGATATCCTACCATCGATCATGAATCACGACCAACCACCAGATACGGATGCGAAATCCTTTCTCGAGGGCAGAGATGTTCCACTGGGAGGGATCTCGGTTTAAACCCAAGGCGTTAGATAGGGCTACCGCTGTTCCTACCATACCCCCATTGCCAAAGATTGAAGTGCTTGGTCTTCCGCAGACATTCAACAGCATCGCCAGTATAGTTGATATACCAGGGCACAGAAACAGTTCGGAATGGAGAGCCTCGTTGGCCTGGTTCCAGATATAGCGGATGTCGGGTGTCCGAGTCAAACGCAGTTGTGGTGTATTATTCCAGTATATTAGCGAGTTGGCATATAGGTTGCATAGGAGGGCTGGAGATATCTCTGCTTTGCGAGTGCAGCAAGCATTCATGAACGATGCCTCATCAAATACGGGAAAGCATATATTTGCGTATTCAAAGAACCTGGGGACATAGCACTCAGCAACTGGGCATCTCATGTAAATGATGATTTGCGATGACTTACAGTCCCACAACATCCTTCGTCGCGGGCTCGAGGTATTTTTCGATGAGCTCGCATTTCATAGACGGGAGAGATTGACTGGAGTACACCCCTAACGGACGCCTCGGAATGGTATTGAACAGTACCTGCCGCATGAGTCGACAGGGTTTCAAACTTGTGTGCATCAAGCCTGGACTTCGATTATCTGGAACTGTGAACAGATATCCTTCCAATATACTACTGTCATCGGCAACAACTGGGCTGACGACATGGGAGCTGTCGTCCCCGGTATCGCCAACCACATCCATTAGACTTGCAAGCTTGCCATCTGAGTATGCAGTGTGAAGATGGGCTGCGTGGTGATGCCTCCCCAGTTGTGGTGTGTCCGAACGTTGGCTGGTCTTGGGTGACGGGAGTACGACCTGAGGGGTGGAAGGTCGTTCAATATGCTGAGCTGTTTTGGGTGCATTTTGCTGCAGATTGACGGTTCGCTTCTTTGGAACAGGCTGGTTAGCTGAAGGAAAGAGACATTCAGTTGCATGAGCCAGACACATCATGCACGTCGCCGAGGAGTCTCTTGTGCGGCATCGCGACTTGCGTTTTCGGCAAGGCAGACATGCGGGATGCGCATGAGACCGATAGGGTCTGCCTGAGATGCTACCATTCTCCTTCATGTCCTTAGGCATAGTTAGGAAGCCTTCTTACTGGATATCTGATCCGTGGATTCAAAGTACAAGGAGGGGGTAATCCCGATAAAGCGAAGTATTTCGTGGCCGCGGGGAACCTTCGCCCGCGGGCAACTCAACCAATTAGAATAGTTGGATAGCAGAACCCTATGCCCGCGATCACCCTGACAGGGAACTAGTACTTATAGCCAACGAGACCTGGGTTAACATGTTAAACATGTTCAAATTGAGCACCATAGTCATTTATTATCGAAGAGAACTACTCTTGATCGAACATCATGGCAACCCCCGAAACCACCGCCGCCTTCTTCACCAAAGCCAACAAGTACCTCATGTCCACAGGAGTCCCTATCTCTCCAATTATCATCACTGAAGCCAAAGGCACCTGTTTATATGACACCAACAACCGTCGCATCCTCGACTTTACCTCAGGCCAGATGAGCTCTCTGCTCGGTCACTCCCATCCTGAAATTGTCACCACAATCCAGCAATACGCCGCCAAATTAGACCACCTCCTCAGCAACATGATCACCCACCCAGTAGTGGACCTAGCTGAGCGTCTCGCCCGGTTCCTCCCTCCACCCCTCGAGAAGTCCTTCTTCCTAAACACCGGCTCCGAGTCTATCGAAGCTGCCATAAAAATGGCCAAAGCGTACACTGGAAAATTCGAAGTTGTCGCATTCAGCGCTAGTTACCACGGCCTTACCAAGGGCTCAGGATCAGCGACGTATTCCACAGGCCGGAAATGTGGTGGTCCATGTATGCCAGGCCAGCTTGCCTTTCCCGCTCCGTATGCATACCGCTCGCCCTTTCGCAAGGCTGACGGGACGTATGACTGGGAGACGGAGCTCATGTTTGGATGGTCCATGATTGACCGGCAGAGTGTGGGGTCGCTGGCTGCGTTTGTTATGGAACCTATACTGTCGACCGGGGGGATTTTGGAGCTCCCCGATGCATATTTGCAACGCATGGCGATTGAGTGCAAGAAACGCGGCATGTTGTTGATCATGGACGAAGCCCAGACAGGAGTCGGTCGCACTGGCCACATGTTTGCATTTGAGCAGGCTGGAATAGTCCCGGATATTCTAGCTTTGTCAAAGACCCTAGGATGTGGGCTTCCTTTGGCATCGGTGAGTACGACGGCTGAAATTGCTCAGGGATGCGCGGATGCTGGGTTCCTTTGGTTGACGACACACTTAAATGATCCCCTTACTGCGGCGGTGGGAAATAAGGTGTTGGAGATTGTGGAGCGAGAGGATATCTGCCGGAGAGCGAGGGAGCGTGGTGGGCAGTTGAGGGAAGGCCTGCTAAAGCTCCAGAAGAAGTACTGGTGTATTGGGGATGTACGCGGTCGGGGCCTTTTACAGGGAATCGAGATCATATCCGATCGGAATACTCAGGCTCCTGGGCCGGAGCTAGGTCAGTTGGTGTCAGACAGAGCCATGGCGTGTGGGTTGTCGTGTAATGTTGTTAACCTTCCAGGTATGGGAGGCGTCTTCCGTCTGGCGCCGCCAGTGACGGTGTCAGCGCAAGAAATTGAGGAGGGTCTGAGGATTCTAGATGAGGCGTTTGCCTATGTAGTTGGCAAGAGCTGAGGTGTTTAGGAGGTGAACTTGGTCAGTTATATGAATCTTTTGTGCACGAATTTTACACCCAGCATGTTGCGTTAGGCGTAGCCCTCGCTTAGCAGGACAGGATTAGAAACTGTCGATAGAACGGCAGATTCATAACTTGGTGGCTTTGAAGAAATGTCCAACTGGCAATAACATGGAGGTTCCGGGAGAACTTCTGTGTCATCATTAAGTGCTCCAGATGCAATTTCATCAGGAGTTCGGTCCATAACGTGATTATTGTAGCTCGGCAGTGGCTGATCACACGTCTCATCCATCAATCTGAGGGATTGAATCACGGAGCAAACAAAGGGGTCCTGTAGCAAAGGTGGCAAGGCACATTGAATCGAAATGGGCATATCTAAAAGGACCTATATGGTGGTCAGTAAGATGAACGAACAATGGACCTGGAAGTCATACTGCCGAGTGATGTCCATCGGGATTTAAGAGCTTGATCTGGATGGTGAGCGTGTGCTCGACACGAAGAAAATTAGTAGAGATGCTCTGTAGACATTCTTTTGGATCATTCGGCAGGTGAAGGGAGCGGGTTGTAGAATACCAGCATCCTTCATTATCGGATGTTTTTCTGTATTCGTCTTCATCCCAGCCTCTGGAATAATAGTCATCCTTGACTATAATACGGGTCCTGCGGTTGGAAGCAGGCTGTTGAAAGGCTCTGTGTATCTCTTCAATCTTAGTGTGGATGGTTGCTACCTCGAGCCTTTTGCATAATGGAATAAACTCAAACTTGATGGGGACAACACTCCCGAAGGTATAGGCCTGAGATGGTAATGAAACACGATAGATTATCTTCTGCGGCCATATGTCTTGCACCATCTATCATAATTAGCATATTAATTGAGACCTCAAAAGGCAATATCGTATAATATCTCACCTTAGGCTCAGGTATCAATAGTGATCTGTACATCCGACGCACCCTGACCCGGGTGTCAGCGTCGATACGACGTCCCCCGGGTGTGCCGATAGTAGCTTTCAGCCGATATCTGACATGGCAGTCGTCGAGGCCCTCAATAGTGTCTGGTGAGCTGTTGGATAGGCAAAAGGTGAATAGGAACTCGTGGTTTCCAGGTGCTAGAGTAGTTGATGACGGAGACCCTGGATATGGTAAAAAGCTCCAGGTTTGATACATAAATAGCCGCTCCAAGAATGGCATGTGCTGGTGAGCTCTCTGAAATTCTGAGCCGCTTTGCCAACTATTTAAGACAGTCCGTTAGTGTTGAGTTACACAGAAGGAGGGGAATTCGTACTTCATGTAACGCCGCCCTTCAAAGTGCAGCTTGATGTCCTTGACACAGAGTGGTTGGTTGAGGCATAATACGACCTTTCCTGTAACATGGCAGTATCCTGTTGATGATGAGTCTCCAGAAAGCCATATAATATCATTGTCAAGCCTGTTTCACGTCAGTATAACAACCCTTGTTGGGTGTAAATTCTCGCCGTTACCTGATACCAAAGTATGTCGGCGCATTCTCAGGCGGAGATGCTGCTCGAAAGAGGCTAGTTATTGCCATTGCAAATATTCGATACTCATAGACGCTAAGTTTTGTGTTTGCTGAAACCTGCTGCAAGTAGTCATTTATATCTAAATGATGGCAATACTAAAGCTTCAGCAATGGGTTACCCTTTTGGTCGATGCCGCCGCAGGGGCGGGTATATTTCCTCTTTCGGAAATGCCGGTATGCGTACAAGGAAATTTACTCGATCTAGACACGCCCTGTTGATGATAGCAAGTCCTGTGATCATCCCGAGTAGTCTTTATTGGAGAATAAAATCTTTTATGGACGACGCCTTGCCCAATCTGACACCGGTGTTGCTCTAGGTCTTGTGGTGGTCGCCTCTCAGAAGGTCGGGTTGCGGCGAAAGCGACTCGGTTCTCTCATGTTAAGATGACTATGACATGAATACAACAACATGCTACTAGACACGTCACTTCATCTCAAAGGTTACATGAACATGCGCCATGGATAATGCCTGGGGCAACTATTCTGTCATTATTTCATAGCCGGTAGACTCGTTAACTATTGAGCACTACTATCCACGCTACTAACTATCCCATCATCCCCCCAGCCCTCGCAACCTTCCTCGCTCGCTGCTGTCGACGATTATGATTCGCCCGGCTAGCTTTATTCTCCTCTTTCCTCTGCCGCGCAACAGCAGGATTACTATTCCCAGGAGTACTACCCTGCTGGCCTGCACCACGTCCCCGACCTCTCCCACCGCGTCCGCGTCCTCCTCTTCCTCTTGAGCTGCTGCTCCCACCTGCCTCGCTCTCATCGTCATCTTCAGTTCCAGCACCAGGTCTCCGATACGACGTAGCCGGCAACTCAGGCTGATTCAACCCCCCACCATCAGCAGCACCAAAGGCCATCTTATCCTCCAATTTAGCCAACCGTTTCGGATCCCTCGACAACATGACCGCCCACCCCTCGATCGCTTCATCCGTCATGCCGGTTTCACGCTTGAGCGAAGCGCGGGGCTGTGAGCGTCGCGTGGCAGAGTCGCGCGCGAACAGGGCCGGATTAGATTTATATGTGCGGTAGAGGGAGAGTTCTGCCTCTTGTTGTTGCTCTGCTGCGGCCTTGGCATCGTCGGTGGTGGTGTCATCAATGGTGCCGCCGACGTCGGCAATGTCGTAGGTATCGTCGCGTTCGTCGTCGTCAGAGTCAAAGGTGGCCAAGGCGGAAAGGATAGCAGCTTTGTTCGCGGAGTGATGGGTGCGGTCGGCGAGGAGGTCGTCGGCTTGGGTGGTGTTAGTGCGGCGGCCGTGGTGGAGGGTGGATTGGTCGGATAGTTCGGCAAGGTCAACGTCGTTGTCGAAGATGTTTCTGCGGGCTGGGAGGGTTGGCGCTGTGGGTGGTGGTGTTGAGCGGGGTGGGAGAGGGTCGTGTGGGATGGTTGAGGTTGATGTTGATGTAGGAAGTTGTTCGGATTTGTCGAGGGTGCGGAGCTCAGAGGGTATGGAGTCGTCGAGGAGATGCGAGACGATTGTTTCGGGGTCGTCGTTGTAGTGGTCTAGCAAGCGGGTGATGTAGCCGGAGCCTAGGTCCGGGAAGAGATCTTGGACTTGGGTGATCAAAGACATGCGGTGAATGTGCATGTCTTCGGGTGCGGGGAGGTCCGTAGCAGCGCGGCCTTTGCCTTTGTCGAGAAGTCGCTTCTTTTGTTTTTGATGGCGACGGTGGAAGACTTTTGTTTCTTCTTGGTAGGTTCGTAGACTGGTGAGGAGGTCTTGGCCTCGTTTCTGGGGGTGGGTGATGAGATGGCGGTCGAGACGGACTAGGAGGTCTGTACTGCATATGACGTCGGATAGGAGGGTGGGCTCCTTTTTCGTTGTTGAGGATCCGACGCCAGCGCTGGATTTTAGACTGTATAGCTGGTCCAGCAGCGCGGAGAGGTTCAGCTTGGGGCCCTTCAGAAGGGATGCTAAACCAACGTAGACGTTCGCTACGAGGACGCTGCGGATATCCGCTCGTTTGTGTGTTTGGTATGCATCGGCGAATGTGTCCAGAAAGTCAGACCCGGTCATGAGCACCTGGCCGCAACCGGGGAGTGCGGACGCCAGGATAGTCAAGAGGCGAATGTCAGAGAGGATAGCCGTAGACTTCGTGGGGTTGAGCGAGGCAAGCTCTCTGATAATCTTCGTCTTGGCCTTCTCGAGGCTGGATGTTATTGTATCTTGATGCTTGTTCCATGCATCAGACAATAGTCGCTTCAAGGCAGCGCTCGAAGGGTAGGTGCAACACATGTTCGCAAGTACTTGTACATCAAGCAGCTCAGACGGTGTTGCAGAGGCATCCAGGAGGAACCTCCTCGTCAACAAGAAGCAAAGCTTCCTTAATGATCGCGCTTTAAGCCCGGCATGAAAGCCAGATGAGCCATAGGTGGCAGACTGATAATAGAAGGAGGTCAAGAAGGTCACGGCAGTTTCATCGTGGGCGGCAATTTCTTTGAACTGGGAATCAGGAGCTTCAATGCGTACTTGCAAAAGCAAGATCCACGCATCTATATAGAGCTCCCATTCGTTGGGTGGTACGGTGCTCTGCACCTCCGGGGGTGGAACCGGTGCCAAAGGAGGTAGTGGTTCCGGCATGACGCAGTGAATGGGCTTTGTCGACCGTCAAGCTCGGAAAATGTAAAACTGAATTGGACTATTTATGCTTGAACGTTGGAAGCCGACCACACGCCTGGACCATCCACCAATATCGTCACTGGCGATCCATCAGCCCCTCTGTCGGCTGCAAAATTCAGTGCGGATCCTGACGTCAGGTGACTTGAGCCTCGGCCTCCGCTCTGTTGCGGGGACGGAGATGGCCGCAGTAGTACCTGCATGGAGACAAAGCAGATCTGCAATATGTTTGTTGTGAATGTCTTTGCAAAATATAGATGAATTGGGAAATCTAATGTGAATAAGAGATACTAAATAATTTACTACTATTGCTAGTAGCCAATAGATTCTACTCAAGCGCTGTCTATTAAAAAAAAAATTAAGATATATACAATGATGTCATCATGCATGCAACCTAAAGAATTATAATACTACTTACACAACTCGAATAACTGACTTAATTTGCATAGACTCTCTACCTTCCAGTGAACATTATTCACCGAAACTGTTGCCATATATCGGATTTGGCCGACCTACTTTGTGTGGCTAAGCATTTGTGGAAACTTTCCTTCCCACGCCGGATCTTGGCTTTACTCCAGGGACGGCTTTTCCATGACACTCCTTATAGAGCATACAGCAGCCAAAGGAGGCGAACATTCCGTCGCGCAGCCTCCATAACAAAGAAAATGCCCTCATTAGCAGTCTTTGAGCAACTTATTTACCGGAAACTATCCACTTCATACCCCGGATTATCATGTAATGGCTCCGAACCAAAGGGTTGACCAGTTGCCCTATACAGCTAACACGGATACTGAGCCGGAACTCACTAGAAATAGTTAGATAATGCTATAGGAAGGTTGCATAAAACTGTGCACAGTGACTACGAAAAGGAAAACGACACGAGTCCATCGTGGATGCCATTGGGCCCAGCTGCAAAGACTCCCTCCGGACCCGAAGTATACCGGATCCGAGGGCCACTCCGGGCATCCCTGTAAAACTACTCCTCTTCCGTAATCGATGGATAATGACATCTGAAACGCGCGAGGGTACTTAGACGCCCCAGGCCTCTCTGAGAATACAGAATGAGGCCAGACAAATAGTGACCAGAAATCTTGGCTGGCTCAAGAGTTCGATTCACGGCCACTGGTGTCTTCAATCAGCAGTATGCGCGTTCTCGTAATTGGTGGGACCGGACGATGTGGCAGGCTTGTCATTGACGAGCTGCTGGGACGAGGTAGGCACCTACTACTTTATGATACGTATGATGTGGTGATGGATATGGCTAATATGTCCAAGGCCACCAGGTCACTACCCTAGCCCGAACACCTGACGCGCTGGGTGGTCCTCGACCCGGTCTAGATGTCATCCAAGGTTAGCATACGATGAAGTCTCGCTGATGCTATTGCTTCGATTGCAAAGTGTTTCACGGCTAACATGTCTCAGGCACTCCGATGAACTTAGATGACGTACGAGCCGCGTTCAAAGCAGACAAGCCCGATGTGGTGATTGTAACGCTGAATGCGCCTCGAGCGAGCGATAGTCCGTTTGCTGCCGCAATTTCTCCCCCTCGTTTAATGGCCGACTGCAATGCCAATGTAGTGGCTGCAATGAAAGAGTTTGGGGTCCGCAAGACTGTGATTCTGCAGGCATTCGGGGTGGGAGCATCCTGGACTAACCTGCACATCCTGCTGCGCCTACTCATGAAGACATCTAATATGTCACATCAGTACGATGATCACAACGAAACAGAAAGGGAAGTCCTGGCCAGTGGGGTCAATTATGTGTTTGTGAGGCCGTCGCGGCTAGTCGAAACGGAAGAAACTGCCATCAAGATGTGGCCGGATGACGGCAAGGGAGTTCCCATGATGGCAAGTACAAGTCGGATCAGCGTGGCGCGATCTTTGGTCGATGTGGCCGAGAGTGATGAATGGGATAACATGGCTCCAGTTATCACCAACTGAGTCGAATCGGGATCGGGACGGGAGGTGGAGATGTTGCGGGGGTGGAGATTGGTGTTGTTTAAATCGTTTGTCTGTTTTGCTTGTGGAATTTTTGGGTCAGGGTGGGTATGTATAATATTGATGCGCTAGTATTCCTGGCAGGTATACGATATGCCTGATGTGTAATGATAATGAGGAAATTGAACAAGGCATGCATTATGTGGACTTCGGCAATTAGTTTTTATTTACTACATAAATAATGCAGGCACTGCATAATGCCTTGATGATGTAAATCGTGGCTGTCCGGAACATTTGTTGTTCCATTGGTATTTGACCACATGATATTAGTGGCTTATCACGGATGAGTCATAATCGAGATCGACACCAGATCCGGCATCGGCGGTGGCGCGAGCCAATCAAGGGGAAGGTAAAAGAAAAGTGCCACTAGCATATGGCACAGAAAATTGCTCGTCGTTGAGTCTCTGTCACTTCCCTCTGCTATCATCCAAGTAACCGGCGTGACAATGGTGAGGCAGCTTGTTTGGCAGCGGGCCACCGCCTCTCAGAGGGTAAGTCGTGCCGTTATCAGCCCGATTGACTCCCTAGCAGCCTGGACTGACCACTCCACTTCCCCCATACTATAGTTGGCCCCGAAGTGCCTCTCTCCGCAACGACTGTTCAGTCGCCGTGGCCTGGCCACGGAGGCTTCTCCGGCAGCCTCCTCCCGCTTGCCTCCCTACCCGAAGATCGTGCAGAACCTCGAAAACGTCCGTCGCGTGCTCGGTCAGGACCGCAACCTGACCCTGGCGGAGAAGATCCTCTACGCCCATCTGGACAACCCCGAGGAGTCCCTTCTGACCGGCACCAACAATGGCCGTGACATTCGCGGCAAGGCCAACTTGAAGTTGAAGCCCGATCGCGTGGCGATGCAGGATGCGTCGGCTCAGATGGCACTTCTGCAGTTCATGTCTTGTGGTCTCCCCTCGACGGCCGTGCCCGCGAGTATCCACTGCGACCACATGATTGTTGGTGAGCGTGGTGCTGACACTGATCTGCCGGCATCCATCAAGGGTAACAGCGAGGTGTTCGACTTCCTGGAGAGTGCTGCCAAGCGCTATGGAATTGAGTTCTGGCCCCCTGGTGCCGGTATCATTCACCAGAGCGTTTTGGAGAACTACGCTGCTCCGGGTCTGATGATGCTAGGAACGGACAGTCACACTCCCAACGCCGGTGGTCTGGGTGCCATTGCCATTGGTGTCGGTGGTGCGGATGCTGTTGATGCGCTGGTTGACGCCCCTTGGGAGCTCAAGGCGCCCCGCGTCCTGGGTGTGCGTCTGGAGGGCAAGCTCAACGGCTGGGCTGCCCCCAAGGATATCATCCTCCACTTGGCCGGTAAGCTCACCGTCCGTGGTGGAACCGGCTTCATCATCGAGTACCACGGACCTGGTTTGGAGACCCTGAGCTGCACTGGTATGGCCACCATCTGTAACATGGGTGCCGAGGTGGGCGCGACGACCTCCGTGTTCCCCTTCTCCCCCAACCACGTCCCCTACCTGCAGGCGACTCACCGGGCTGATGTTGCCCGTGCCGCCTCTGAGATCGCCGGTTCCGGTCCCAGGAACCTGCTCCGTGCCGATGGCGGTGCGGAGTATGACCAGCTGATCACCATTGACTTGTCGACACTGGAGCCTCACATCAACGGTCCCTTCACCCCCGATTTCTCCGTTCCCCTGTCTGCTTTCGCCGACACCGTTCGTGAGAAGCAATGGCCCGAGTCCCTTGGAGCGGGTCTGATTGGTAGCTGCACCAACAGTTCCTACGAGGATATGACCCGTGCCGAGAACCTGGTTAAGCAGGCCTCTGCCGCCGGCCTTCAGCCCAAGTCCGACTTCTTCATCACTCCCGGTAGTGAGCAGATTCGCGCCACCCTGGACCGCGATCAGACTCTGTCGACCTTCTCCCAGGCCGGCGGTACCGTGCTGGCCAACGCCTGCGGTCCCTGCATTGGTCAGTGGAAGCGCACGGACGGTGTCCCCAAGGGCGAGGACAACGCCATCCTCACTTCCTACAACCGTAACTTCCCCGGTCGCAACGACGGCAACCGCAGGACCATGAACTTCCTGGCCTCCCCTGAGCTCGTCACCGCCATGGTCTACTCTGGAAGCACCACCTTCAACCCCATGACCGACAGCATTACCACCCCCAGCGGTGAGGAGTTCCGCTTCCAGCCTCCCACCGGCTACGCTCTTCCCAGTGACGGCTTTGCCGACGGCAACCCTGACTTCCAGCCCACTGCTGCTGTGCCCGACCCGTCCTGTGAGGTGATTGTCTCCCCCACCTCGGATCGTCTTGCCCTGCTGGAGCCCTTCGCTCCCTTCCCCAAGGGCGACCTCTCCGGCCTCAAGGTTCTGTACAAGGTTCGTGGCCAGTGCACGACTGACACCATCTCGGCGGCTGGTCCGTGGTTGAAGTACAAGGGTCACCTGCCCAACATCTCCGCCAACACCCTGATCGGTGCCGTCAACGCCGCCACCGGTGAGACCAACGTTGCCTACGACGAGGACGGCAAGCAGTACTCCATTCCGGACCTGGCCGCCCAGTGGAAGGCCAACGGTGTTGAATGGCTGGTCGTGGCCGAGGAGAACTACGGTGAGGGTAGTGCACGTGAGCACGCTGCCCTGCAGCCCCGTTACCTGGGTGGACGCATCATCGTGGCCAAGAGCTTTGCCCGTATCCACGAGACGAACCTGAAGAAACAGGGTGTCGTTCCCTTGACTTTCGAGAACCCGGCCGACTATGACAAGATCGATGCTTGTGACCAGGTGGCCACCGAGGGACTGTATGAGGTCTTGCAGGCTGGTGGACAGGGCTCCATCCAGCTGCGGGTGACCAAGCGCAGCGGCGAGTCGCTGGTGATCCCCGTCAAGCACACTCTCAGTCCGGACCAGTGTGCTTTTGTCCTGGCCGGTAGTGCGTTGAACTTGCTGGCTCAGAAGGCCAACAAGAAAAGTGCTTGATTAATGGGTGATGGGTGAAAATTCAGCGAAGTGTACATATATCCATCTGTTGGTGTTTTGTTCTATCTACTTTCGAGCGTTATATTAGTAGAATATGTTAGACAATAAACTGTCTGGACTTGAATCGTGCAACTTAGCAAGTAGATGCTATGTAAGTATAACCAAGAGCTCAGCAACGCGTATAAAGCAAGCCAAAAGCAGCTATTCCATCCAACCCAACTATCTGACCACCAAGTAATGAGTGTCCCCTACTTCCCATCATAAGCCCATTCCCTCCCCAACTCCAACCTCCCCTTCTCCATCTCCTCGACTCCCACAGACTCAGGTTTAATATACCTCGCCGTCAACGCAAACCTCAACCTTTTATCCGGAATAACCGAATGCTACACAATCAGCATCCACTGCACCTACCCCACCCATCCCCATAAAACAGACACAGACAAAAAGAGATAAGGGATAAATCATACCTCAAAAAACTTCTGCAACCCCTCCCCATGCATTACCACCAAATCACCATGATTCACCTCCATCTTAATACACGGCGTCGCCTCCCCTCCCCCACCAGTACCACCTTTCTTCATACTCAACCCCTCACGCCTCAACTCATCATATCCCTCGCGATCAATACTCCCACCCAGTAACCCTGCCTTGAGCTCCCTCCGCCGGAGATAGTTCTTACATCCAGGCAAGACCGGATCCTCTTCCAGGAGTTTCTTCGCTCTGCTGTAGCCATGGTAGTATTTGTACTTCATACGCACGAGCATGGTGGATTTTGCGCCTAGGGAGAGGGTGGAGATTGTTGGACCGAGGGAGGATTCGCCGTCGTCGTGGTACTATTCAGGGAGTGAATATTCTGGGCGGAGATTTTGGGAGTCTAGAAAAGAAATGTACATACCCCGATTCTCATATCTTCGAGATACCCCAACAGGAGCATTTCATTTGGCGGGAGAAAGGTATCCCCAGTGGCGAGATGGGCTTGCTTGCTGGCCCAGGTTAGGCGGCCCATGGCTCGCAGGATTGGGGGACAGGCTTCGTTGAAGGACTTGGAGGAGACGGAGACGACGTATTTGTATGGCATGCCCTATTTCAGCGTCTATTAGGTATGTTCTCTGCGGGATGTGGGAGTAATAACGCACATAATTAACAGCGAAATGAGCAGTCAACGTCCCGGCAACTACATGATCATTAGCATCCACCTCGTCATCCCCAAAGACAAGAAGATAGATAGCTCACCCACACTCTGCGCTAACGGATACCTCCTCAACCCCAACTTTTCGCACTGCAACTGCCCAAACAGCTCATCCGGCCCATTACGCCGGGTATTTATCTCGCGATTCGCAACTAAATGCATGATACTCCCCACCCCGGGAATAGTATACGTGAGCTTTCTATACGGATACAGAGATACATCATCAACCTCTGGCACCATGAACTTCGCATCCCAGCTAAGCGCACGCTTAATGGGGCTTGTTTCCATGTCATCAATCACCCATCGCAGAGCGATAGGTCGTATGGGTAGAATGTGCTCAAAGGGGCACTTCAACTTCCTGTCCCAGACGGAATCGTCATCAGCGCATCGCCATCCCCACCAATACCGCCGGGAAATGCACCGCTTGCAGAGGGGACATATGATCCCTTTCCAAGTAATTCTCTTCGACAACGCATCGCTATCAGCATCTTTCAGTGTGGAAAGTAAGTCCGGTACGAGGCTGTAATGTGGCTGGATGGTCGGGTCCGGGGGAAGACGGGATTTGAGGAATTTTTCGTGGAAGGTGAGGTCCGTTGGTTCTGAAGACGAGCCACTGATCATCCAGAAGAGTTTACAAGATGGCTGCAGACACATCCAGCCCTGATCGTATATGCGTATACTGTATTGATCGCACGCTTCGCAGCGGGCTTGCTCTGCCTGCATCGCATAATCCCTCTTCTTCCTCTCCAGGGGAGGCCGGGAGTGCTTCGCAGCCCACCAGCTCTTACTACCCAGATCCAACTTCTCGAACCGGACTTTCGCACCCGTTCTTCTACCGATGCGCTCGTACCACACGTGCGTGATCCGGAAATACGCCATGACGTTGTATCGGTGCGGGAGGGATCTGGGTAGGAGGGTATTGCGGTTTCCTGTAGGGTTATCAACATTGCAATGCGAAGAAACGGCATGGCCTACTCACCAATAACAATCCCCACTGGCACCTTCAGCTCCATACTATTCAGTATACTGCTCATCGCCGCACTATCTCCATCCTGGTCCTTGATGAGCACTAAGTTCCCGTTTGCATCCTTGGTGCAGCCGCCTCCGCTGGACATAATATGGTTAGACTCTGTTACCATATAATGTGTGATTCAAGAGAAAAGGTCAACATACACACGAGTAATAACCACCTCATCATCCAAATACGACCGTATCCCGCAATCCGCATCGATTAGAAATCCCCAGCATATGTTCCCGTTGTGGTAGACTCCGCCTTGCACGGAACGGAACCAGGGCAGGGCGTCGCAGAGGTCGGGTCTGTTCTGGTCATGGTATATATGGATTAGTACGGTTTAGGAGAGAGGGACGGTAGGGTATGCGTACCTCGGCCCAGGCTGGGGGGTGGCCTTCTGTTTCTTGTCCTTGGCGTTCCGGGGGAGGGTGTAAGTGGGTATGCGCTGCAGGATTGGATATACGGGTGGAAATAGTGGACTTTGTAGGGTGAGGCTTTCGGGGTCGTGTGATGCGTCCTGAGGTTACGGGCTGGGGTTGGGGTTTGGTTGTTGCTGTTGCCCTGGTGGGTCTCTTGGGGCTCATGATGGATGGCGTAAGGATAGGTAGTTAATGAGTGGTTGTATGGGGATATATAGAAAGAGGGTATACTATTTCGAAGGAGTGGTTGGAAGAATGGTCTGGTAGTAGATAGTGTCAAGCGCTGCGAGGTGGTTAGCTGCTAGTTGTGGTCATGACGGAGGGGTGAGGATATCAGTATAGCGTCATCAAGTGCTCACCTCTGAGGGCTAGGAGAACTGACGTTGATACAACCGATCCTCACTTTGCCACGTTTCTGAGGACAAGATTGACGAAGAAAGCTGTAGTATGGAGAGAATTTACACACTAGGGTATGAAATGCTCTGATCTATAACATTCTTATATAATTTGGTATCTGTCACAAAACATCTATTTCCCAAACACATCCTTCTGTTCCGGTACCAAAGTAATCATCTTCCCTGTTTCCACGCCGGAGCGCAGGTTATTCAACACGAGCAACTCCATCTCTCGTTGCGTCTCATAAGTCATGGTACCAATATGCGGCAGCAGCATGACCCGAGGGTTGTTCACCAACCCCGGCTCGATTGCGGGTTCATTCTCGTAGACATCCAGTCCAGCCGACCATACCTAAGATCATCACATCAGTCCGGTTACCCTTGCTTTCAGAAGGAAAGTGACCAACCTTGCCCGACTCCAGCGCCTCAACCAAGGCCTTCTCATCAATCAGCGCTCCACGCGCCGTGTTAACAATGATAACTCCATCCTTCATCTTCTGAAACTCTGACTTGCCGATAATGTGACGGGTGGACGCATTGAGCGCCAGGTTCAAACTCAACACATCAGCATTAGCGAGTAGCTCATCGAACGAGACGTAGGTCGCTCCGTCCTCGAGTTCCGGGGACAGACGCGACCGGTTATGATACTGGATAGTCATTCCAAAGGCGCGCGCACGACGAGCCACCTCCTGCAACTCATTAATATGATGCTCCTTAGGTTCTGTGTGCTGGACTTACACGGCCGATTCCTCCCATGCCGAGAATTCCAAGCACCTTGTTCTGGGGATCATGCCCGAGGCCAGTTTGGCCGAGAAACTTTCCTATTTTACGGTTATATTGAGTTGTGACTGGGTTGAGTTGGCAGGGCTCACCTTCGCGGAGAGACGAGACAGGAATATATGCCTGTCGCAATGCGCCAATCATTAGGAAGATGGCCACGTCGGCGGTGGCGTTGTTGACAGCAACGGGGGTGCTAGAGACAGCGATTCCTGCGTTGATTAGTGTGCGACATGCTAGGAGAAGAGCTTGCGTGTACCTTTCTTTGTGCAGGCCGCGACGTCGATGTTATCGTAGCCTGCGCCATTGTGGGCGATGTACTTGAGTGAGGAGGGCAGGACGGAGACTAGTTCTGCGTCGAATGGGCCGGTGAACTGAAGCGCTTTAGCTATCTCCTTGAGTATATAGTCATGAAGTCTGCCCACCTTCGTAGAAGTATTGGAGCGATAGATGGCCACAACATCGTCATACTGGCCGTCGCGACAATTGCGGAGAAAGTCCTCGCGAGTTCCGGAGGGGAATTCCTTCAAGGTCAGAATAGAGGAGAGATCATTCCATTCGGGGATGGAATGGGTGATGGCACCGATCAGCAATGCGGCGGGCATGATGGCGATGATGTCAAGGAAAAGAGTATCCTGCGGGGAGAAGAGGGGAAGGAAAGGAAGAAGAAACGAAGAACAGAGAAGGTGTGAGGGATATACAACGGGGAATATCCGATTAATCAGGGCATTTATGAATGGCCGGTGGAGATAGATCCACCATATGGCGTGGGGGGAGACTTATGATTACTATGTAATCTGGAAAGATATCATCCAGCAATAATAACGCAATAATACAGCAATAACCAGATAAAAAGAGGGTATGCGGGGTCGGCCATCCAATTTGGATACCGTCGGCTATTGATCGGGTGAGAGTCAATAGCCGACGCGGAGCTCCTCCGGCGACTGAATCCATTACTTCTCATTCAAAAGATTACAATTTCTTCCCCCACGTCATGTATTGGGTTCCATTCCTCTTTTCATTCCTTTTTACACCCCTCCTTCCTATTCCAACTTCTCTCATACATTCATCATGACCGTCAACTCTACAGAAACCACCCAGGCCCTCGTCCTGCACGGCGCCAAAGATCTCCGCCTAGTAAGAGCTTCCCCGCACCCCACTCTCCTACTCTTTCTATCTTCAAAAACATCTCTGACAAACCCCAGGAATCGCGCCCTCTCTCCCCTCCAACCGGCAGTGAAGTCCAAGTCGCCATTCGCGCCACTGGTCTCTGTGGCTCCGACCTGCACTACTACACCCACGGGCGCAATGGCGACTTCGTAGTGCGCGAACCCATGTGCCTGGGCCACGAATCCTCCGGCATCGTCACAGCCATCGGCCCCGAGGTGACCACCCACGCCGTGGGCGACCGCGTCGCCCTAGAAGTCGGCTTTGCCTGTCGTCAATGCGCCCTCTGTCAACAAGGGCGCTATAACATCTGCCCTCAGATGAAGTTCCGCAGCAGCGCGAAACTCTTCCCCCATCTCGACGGCACCCTCATGGAACGTACCAACCACCCCGCCTCCCTCTGCCACAAGCTTCCCTCTCACGTCTCCTACGCCGGCGGTGCCCTCGTCGAGCCCCTCGCCGTCTGCCTACATGCCATCCGCCGCTCCCGGCCCCCAACCGCCGAGGACGTCTCCCTCGCGCAGTCTCTCGGCGAACCCACCGCTGCCTTGATCTTCGGTGCCGGCGCTATCGGCCTCCTGCTGGCCTCTGCGCTGGCCGCCTCCCAGAACTTTTCCTCCATCGTGGTGGCAGACATTGATGCCTCCCGACTGGCTATTGCCGATGAGCTGGGACTGGGTCTCAAGACCACTCTCATCCCCAAGGCGGATCCCGCGAACCCCGCGCCAGCCCGCGATGCCCCGGCCGCGGAGCAGACGGCTTGGGCGCTGCAGAATGCCCAGCGCGTGGCGGGAATCTTGAAGGAGTCAGCGAGTGTGGAGAAGACAGGCTATGCGCGCGTGTACGATTGCACCGGTGTGCCGGCGTGCGTGCAGGCGGGAATCTATGCTGCGGGGGCGGGTGGAGTGTTGGTACAGATTGGCATGGGCCATCCCGTACAAACGCTCCCTGTTGGAGCGGCGGCGCTGAGAGAGGTCGACATTCTGGGGGTGTTCCGGTATGATGGGTATGCGTATCCAGCGGCCATTGAGCTGATGGCGAGTGGGAAGATGGATCGCGTGGAGAAGATGGTGGTGACGCATCGGGTGGCGCTGGCGGATGGGGATCGAGCGTTCAACCTGTCAGGCAAGGGAGTGGATGAGGAGGGGAGACCTGTAGTGAAGGTGGTTATTGAGAGTGGAAGCGATGCTTGAGCGGATGAACGAATCTATTTAAAATGATGACGGTGACGATGACGACGATGATGAAGTTACGGAGTGTATAGTAGTAGAGCAATCCCGGAGAACAATTCCGCCTTCACATAACACTACATACAGTATATATGAAAAAAATACTACCCCAACTAGATGGTTTACCTGTTATATACCCCAACCATACCTAACTACATGGTCACAATATTAGTCACCTCCTCTAGTCTCCGGATGTTGAACCGTTATCGCTACCTCTGATATAACTTCAGCATTCAGGATCATCCTCGTATCCCCAAACTATGGCCGGCACAATGTCACTGATGCCGATATTTTACTCTGATAATGTTATCAACGACACGTCATCTACGTGTTTTCCCGGGCTTCTGAGATATTGTTGTTGGATAATCTTCGAAGTAAATTCTGTCACTTTTCTCCAAGTCCCTGATCCGGTCCATGAGACTCAAATATAGAGCCTACAGCATTGAATAAATAAAGGACATGCTCGAAGGTGCTAATTTGTTGGGAATGCCTCAGAGAAGAGAACGACATGAACAATGATAATTGCAGGGTCAAGTTGGAAAGAAGTAAAATAACAGGTTGCTTGAATTTCCAGAATTGAGGTCACAACAAATAAGAAAGAGATCATGGTAATAAAGCATGCATCAACGAGCTGAACAGAAACCCAGTGACGAACCATGTTTAGGTGTTGGTACACATCGTATGCATACTTCATGTATGTTAACTCTCGGAGAATTTCTTTGATTCGTCAGTGGTATTCGAGCCTGAATTTCTACAAACTGGACAGTATAGCATCAGAAAAGCAGGTTCTAGTTTTGAGATTCCGGTTTAAATTCCATCTTTAATCTTATCTAACAACGTATCAATAAGTTATTCTCACTGCAGCACCGACATTCCCGGTGAGAAGTAGTTGTGAGTCTCAATCTGCACGAATACTAGCAAACTTCATCCTTAAGAACTCCAGGCTTGTTAACATGCTAATCCTTGGTCCCAATATCTTGTCGCCGCTATAAGAAGCCGAGATATCACCGCTATCTTGACATCTTGTCATGGCATTTATTCATGAACCATTATTTTTATTCTTGGCTATGATCTCCGCTGATTTCTCGATACGGTCTGCGATCTGATCAAAGTCACTCCGCAATGCTGCCTTGACTTCCAATTGCTTTATGTTTCTACCGGCCGGGGCGGTATTTTTCCTCCGAAAGAGGTGTCGCTCCTGATCGCGACGAGGACCCTTTGTTCTTGGCCTTATCTTTCTCCGACGCAAGCCGTTTGTACTAGACATATGTTAGCGCAATCTGCATACTTTCGAGCAAATAGACGCCCGTTAAACCATGGCAATCATTTGCGCAGGTCTTCTTACTTCTTCATTTGTATCATCAAGGTGCAGAAGCCGGAGGAAAACATGCTGCTCTTCAAATGAACTAAATTTGACTTTCTGCTTTATGTCATAGGAGAAGTCACCGAGCCGGTGGACGATGAGAGCATATTTAGCTGCTTCCTGGTGTTTGTCGGGCTGTTCTTATGTGACATCAGTACTTGATGGTCATGTGCCGCATACAGGTATGTCTCCTATGTCTTACTTTGGTACAAGCTGTGCAGGTCAACATAGCGGTCTATCGCAGTAGACTTCACTTTCGGACAGCTGTGCAGAAACCAGGTGATCTCCTCATAGGCCTCGCGGTACAGCTTCTCTTCCATTGTGGTGTGAATAGAGTTCATCTCGGAAAGGCTCTGCCACGAGTAGGGTAGCAAAAGCTAGTGCAACTAGTTGAAGAGATCTGATAGGCCCCAATGGCTGACTTGGACTTATCTAATCCCTTTTGACAGTCACTTATGATATTTCTGGGTAAGATCAGACAAGCAGCGCCGACCGGGGCTCAGGGGAGTTGAAGTATGAATAGTGCGGTCGTAGTGACAGCTGGTATTCAGGGGTGACGGAACAGCTTCCCGGATGGAATGGTAGAGATGATGAAATGACAGAGAGTGGTGAAGAGAAGAAGGTAGAAGAGTCAGAAGAGAAAGACAGGGAGGGAAATGGATAGAAAAACGGGCAAGATAAACACAGTGAATGGTAGTTTCTGCAAGATCATGCCTGCTGTTTAGGATCAGTATATACTTACTGATAGCACGGATGCCCCGTGGTCATCAATCGATAAGTATAGGGTTGAGTTCCTTGTCACCATTGCATGGACCACCATTTACCAGTTGTAAACGACTTACCGTAGCAAAGTAATCACTGAGGTTCATATAGATCTAAGCAGTGCGTATATGTGAACGAGTTGATGATACATCTTCCATTGCCAGACATGTGTTTTCCGAGACATTTACAAGTCACCAAGTAAGATAAGCATCTGACAATGTACTTCTCACCTCTTCCATACGCTACCTCAATCCTTCCAAGTCACAGACTTAGTCACAAGGTACTCATTCAATCCCTCCTCTGCATTGAACCGCCCCCAACCGGAGTCCTTGGTCCCACCATGTGGAAGGACCGGTTCATCATGCATATTCATACCGTTTATATGCACAGCGCTGGATCAGTCAGTATCTCTGCTTAGCCATCCTCATCTACTTAGGTAAGTAACATACCCAAACTCCAGCTGCTTAGCTATTGCAAGACCTTTACGAAGGTCTTTCGTGAATACGGAAGCAGAGCTACCGTATCCAACACTATTGGCAATTCTGACAGCTTCATCGTCGCTCCTGACAAGCATGCAAGCCGTCAATGTAGTATATTCCCCCTCGAGCCACACTCTCATGTTTGGGTTAACATTAGCGAGCACGAACGGGCCAATACTCAGAACACCGTCGCAACTTGGCTCGGTCTCAAGCTTTCCATGGAGTAACTCGGCTCCACATTCCACAGAGTTCGTAATCAGGCTCTCCACGTGAGCCCTTATAAATGCTTTGACGAATATGGGCGGAAGCACTTGAGCATCCGTCATGCTCAGAGCATATTTCAGGGCATCCATGAATTCTTCAGCAATAGAGGCATCAACAAGGATACGACCAGTTGACATGTAGATTCGATAGGACTATCCTTAATCAGTAATGTATTCTCACCGATGAGAGTGAATGACAAATCATACGTTCAACATAACACCAGCCAGCACGCCCTCCACAGCAACCGGGACATCAGCATCCGCACAAACAATGGCATAATCCTGCCCCATAGTGTCGATCAACGATGGCTTGATGTACCTGCCACAAATAGCAGCAATCTGTTTCCCCACATATAAACTCCCCGTGGAATTGACCTTCCGTATCGCCGGATGCCCAATCATGGCATTCATAATGTGAGGCATATCCTCTCGGCAGGTATATATGACATTCAAGCATCCATCCGGAAGGCCTGCTTCCCAAAAGGCTCGGCCAATGGACCAATAACATCGCGGAGTTTGCGCTGAAGACAAAAGGACAGCGGTATTTCCAGCTGCGAGAGCGCAGGCTGCCGCACGAATCCCGGATATATAAGGGGCAGTACTACAGATATACGTTGTTAGCAAGACTGGCGACTGGTGTAATACGATCAGCTTTCCCTACCTGGGCACCATCCCTAATATGACACCCATGGGCTCCTTGGAGACAATTGCACTCTGACCTTCTCCTTCAACCACCGGCACACTCCCACAGATTGAAGGTATACGACCTGCAATATCCCTCAGCATACTGCTCGCAAGAGGAATGACAAAACTCTTGATGGCCTCAACGTCAGCACCCGTCTCAATATGCATATAGTTTGCGAATTCTCTTCGACGTCTCTCGAGAACATTAGCTGTCTCAAGCAGGATATAACGTTTGACGGCAAGCATGGTACGAGCCCACGCTGGAAATGCTGCATTCGCTGTCTCAATAGCCGTCGTCGCATCGGCAAACGTAGCACATTCTGCTTCCCAGCAAGTCTCGCCGGTTACAGGGCTCTCAATTTCGAACAAGTGCGCGCCGCCATAGTCTCGGCCGTTGATGAGCAGGGGAACCGTGGCGACAGAGGCTGCGATAGCCGTGGAAGGATCCATGATCAGTCACCCAGGATGTAAGGATGGAAAACGATTTGTTAGTTTTGCTTAGTGGTGAGCAGGTGGAAGAAGGACGTGGGCTGGTGACACAGGGTTATGATGGAAGAAAGCCACTGACGGGGATTGCCAGCCCGTCCCTCCCGCTCATGGGCAGTCACTAGGGGTTACATTGCACAACCCCATCGGAAGAAAGAGTATCTGATCCCAGAACGCAATAAAAGTCTAATGGGACCCAAAGCTGACTTGATTCCCCGCAGCTCGTCACTCACGTTGCCTTTTGCTCCTCCTTGAGGCTCATTGCGCATCATCTGTGAATCAGGATGGGCCCCAGCGCCAAGGGGAAGGAGATGATTGTGATTGTCTCCGTCCTGGTCGGCCTTGCGTGTCTCAGTATGGCTTTACGATTTGTTGCCAGAGTTAAGCGGCGCACTGGCTTCGGGGTAGATGATTGTCTCTGCTTCGTGGCTGTCATATTGATGTTGGGGATGTTGATTGAGCTGATTCTGTGTAAGCTTCTGGATGCTCTCAATAGCCCCTGCCTGACTGGATTAATTGTATCAGGGTGTTTCATTGGTGGGAATGGCTACCATTTCTCTGATCTCGATACTAGGACCATTACACTGTTCTATAAAGTGGGTATTTCACTTAAGATACATTATCCTCAGCAGCCTTGTCCTTCAAGCCCTCACTGAGATTCAACAAGATATTCCTGTCCAGCCAATTCACCTATTTCATCCTGACCCCGGTGATCAAGATCTCCTTCATCTGTTTCTACCGCCGCCTCTTCACCACTAAACGCTTCCTTCGCTTCACCTTCTGCCTAAATATGCTCATTACCGCATGGTCTTCTGGTATCTTCTTAGCCTGTGCATTGCAATGCCGCCCGCTTCGCGCCTACTGGGATATGAACGTCAAGGGACGCTGCTTCAGCGCAACCACTTTCATCATTGTTAACCAGGCGTTCAACGTGGTCATGGACTTTGTCATCCTCGCAGTCCCGATACCTATGATTTGGAGACTGCATCGCTCATGGCAGGATAAGCTGGCGTTGAACGCCGTTTTTGCGCTAGGTGCATTGTGAGTTGACATTGGCTTCTGGCTTTCAGATCCTTAATGGAAGATTAAATTTTAATATTCCTTCCCCTCGATAGTGTATGTTTCGCAAGTATATATCGAATAATAGTTCTATTCTATATTGACCTGAAGGACGTGACATGTGAGACTCTTCATGACCACCCTAACACATTGAGAAAAGGTTAATTATGATTAGATACGATCTACGACGCCACCCTATGGACCCATATCGAGCCATCTGTCGGGCTAGTCGTTTCCTGTCTCCCAATCATCCGCGGTATGTTTCCACGATGTACATCGGCGGGTCACAAACAGCGGACGACTTCAAGTTTAGGGCATTCTTCGACTGGTACAACTTGGTCTGGTGGTATTGACCACGAGTGTTTTGATGGTCGAAAAGGGCTACGAGGCGGGTGTGCAATTGGGGGGAGGACCTGTCGTCGGTCTGGGAATGTGATTGAACTCGAGAATATAAGGGTGACGACGGATATAGAGGTGCAGATTGGGTGATAACCTTTCTCTCTAGAAGAAAGTGGGGATTCATTTCGACCACGGCCTATATAACTGAGGTTTAGCATAAGCTCCCCCATCTAAAGTATTAGGGTTGAGATGCCCTAACGCCAAGGGCAAGGAAAAGATGGAAGGGCGAAGCTGCTCTTGCGTGAAACTCTTTCTCATCCTCTTGCTGTCTTTGAATGCTTGCCATAGATGAATACTATCGACATGATAATGCTCCCATATGTATGGTATCCTTCTACCTCTGAGGGGGTGAGGGGAGTAGGGGCTACATTGAGACGCCGTGGCTTCCTAGGATCGAGCATGCCATATCTCCCGCTACCCCTCCTGTAAGAAAGCATTGCAGTGCTGACAGCAGTGTGCTTCCTATACTAGTAATCAGGGTCACTCAAAGCTGATGCGAGACTGAGGACGGGGTTTCAAACAGAACTGTCCAACATCAACAAAGGCCGCATGATCATGTTCCGCTATATTACATTCAATTCCGATTTCTATACGCTTTCAATCAGCCGTCATCGCCAAGCCAAGGGCAAAAGCATTTAAGGGATGCAGTGAGCTACATATAACTTTAAATCTGGCTTTCGACGGATATCACCAACTTAGAGATCGATAATATGATGTTGCGAGGAATTCTCAGAGCCGATATGTTCCCAATGTTTGAATTGGGGTCCACTACGCTTCAAGCCAAAGGAAAATATATTTATCTCGGATACTAATATTGTGGTGAGCAGTCCGGCCGAATGTTATGATGGCATGTACTAGAATTGGAATTAATGTACAGTTATTATTTTATAAGTTTCCAAAACTAAACTCCTATCTCGGCATTCTACATTTTAGTCATTGATATCCTCCCAGTATACTCTATATCATCATTTAACGTGACTCAAAATGCCAAGAATCTAGCTAGCTGCTAGCTAACACATGAAACGGGGTCTTCTAGGCCTTGGAGAACCCCTTAGCGTCCCAATATACAGTCCTCGGACAGCCAATCCGGTTAGAATGTCTGTATAGCTCCATCACCAGCACTGAGTCAAGGTGCGTGAGTCACCGAGTCGTCTTTCCCCAGACTCCATCTGGGGCATCAAAACCTGCAACAGGAAAGAAAAGCCCAGCTGCGTATCAGGTGACTTCCCCGTAGCGAGCGGCGACAGACTAGCCCCGAAGCGGCAAGGCTCGCGCCTCAGGTGATCTCCACGTCCACGGAACGCGCAGCCATTGACCAATCAAATGCCCGGCAATCCGACATCGGCCGGGGAGTGGCAGTCCAACTCCGGATCACGTGCCCCAGAGCAGGCCGATCTCGTCCCCAGCAACGAGTTTATAAAGTTGCAACCGGCTGCTTCCATCCTCCCTCTTCCCTTTTCCTCTTTCCCATCCAATTTCTTCACTTCCTTTCTTTCCATCTCACCCTCTCCCCTCTTCCTCTCACACCCTCTTCACACAATGGCCTCCCGTGGACTTCCCCGTGCCCTCCGCCTGGCCCGCGTCTCGGCCCCCCGGTCCGTCGTGACTGCTGCTCTCCCCCGTCCCTCCCTGGCCAAGGCTGCCTCCGCCGCTCTCCCCCGTGTGACCGCCACCCCCGTTGTCCCCTCCCGCGGTGTTAAGACCATCACCTTCGCCGATGACAAGGAGACCGTCTACGAGCGTGAGGACTGGCCCCGTGAGAAGCTCCAGGAGTACTTCAAGAACGACACCCTTGCCCTGATCGGCTACGGCTCCCAGGGTCACGGTCAGGGTCTCAACCTCCGTGACCAGGGTCTGAACGTCATTGTCGGTGTCCGTAAGGATGGTGCTTCCTGGAAGGAGGCCATCCAGGACGGCTGGGTTCCCGGCAAGAACCTGTTCGATGTCACCGAGGCTGTCCAGAAGGGTACCATCATCATGAACCTGCTCTCCGACGCTGCTCAGTCCGAGACCTGGCCCACCCTGAAGCCCCTCATCACCAAGGGCAAGACTCTCTACTTCTCCCACGGTTTCTCCCCCGTCTTCAAGGACCTCACCAAGGTCGATGTTCCCACCGACGTCGACGTCATCCTCGTCGCCCCCAAGGGTTCCGGCCGTACCGTCCGTACCCTCTTCCGTGAGGGCCGTGGTATCAACTCCTCCGTCGCCGTCTTCCAGGACGTCACCGGCCAGGCCAAGGAGCGCGCCATTGCCATGGGTGTTGCCGTCGGTTCCGGCTACCTCTACGAGACCACCTTCGAGAAGGAGGTCTACTCCGACCTCTACGGTGAGCGTGGTTGCCTCATGGGTGGTATCCACGGTATGTTCCTCGCTCAGTACGAGGTCCTCCGTGAGCGTGGCCACTCCCCCTCCGAGGCTTTCAACGAGACCGTCGAGGAGGCTACCCAGTCCCTCTACCCTCTCATCGGTGCCAACGGCATGGACTGGATGTACGCCGCTTGCTCCACCACCGCCCGTCGTGGTGCCCTCGACTGGTCCAACCGCTTCAAGGACAACCTGAAGCCCCTCTTCAACGAGCTCTACGACAGCGTCCGTGATGGCTCCGAGACCAAGCGCTCGCTCGAGTACAACTCCCAGAAGGACTACCGCGAGAAGTACGAGAAGGAGATGCAGGACATCCGTGATCTCGAAATCTGGCGCGCCGGCAAGGCCGTTCGGTACGTTATTCCCCAATACTTATATTCTTATTTATGAGAATTTCTGCTAACATTTCTATTCTTATAGCTCCCTCCGCCCCGAGAACCAGAAGTAAATCTATTCATAATGTGTTATTAGCATATCCCCGGTGGGAAAAGTTACGATGTACCATGATCTAGGGAATTGTTTTCAGTCGAGTTTCTTATTATAACTGGGTTGTATATCGGGCCGGAATAAAATTTTCTTATTCATTCTTCATATTCTTTTCCTCAATTGAGTATCAATTGTAGTTGTGTGGAGTGGTAGTTGTAAGAAGAGGTGGTCATGAGTCATCGACTAGGAAAATTGCAACGGGCGGCAGATCATCCGGGGCCAGATTTCCCCGCGATCCGATCTGCATTGTTGATGAATTTACCACCAAGTACAATCTCATGTTTTACATTTTTGCTGAGTGCCAATACTTTAATATTGGTATCTAGAAAGAAAATGGATGATGAATACAATCTATACAATATGCAACCGAACACCAAATCTATTTATTTCAACGCTTTCATGTCTTCGCTTGGATATTAGACAACGGTATATGGATCTAACCCCAGCATCATAAATCCAATCCTGCAGCCAGCTACTCACTCCACAAACGAGGTTCACTAGTCACGCGCTTTCCTTTTCCTTCTTAGTGCGGATGGCAGGGGCAGGGGCCGGAACGGGGTTGGGGTTGCCCTTCCACTCCAGCTTGCGGGGCTTCATGTACGCCGCCAGCACCTCGTCGGTGACTTCCTTTCTCTTCTCCTGGAACGCAGCAACAT